AAATTTGGGATGTTTGTTGCATAAAGATCCATGTTTTGATATAGCTCCCCACAAAAGTCCCGCTCCATTTTCTGTTTTTTTAAATTTTCTCATCGAAGTGACTATAATATGACATATCAGATTCCTGGCGAATAAAAAACTCCTTTCTAGACATTATTTTAAATAGGTTCATATTTTAAAATAGCCCACATACAAATTTGCCGCTTTATTTTCGGTGTGTTGAAGTTCCCAATCCAGTTTTCCAAACTGAGTGCCAGTAATTTGGAACATTAGTTTTTCAGAGCATAATCAACCTAACCCAAATTTCAACAAGTTATAGGACCAGAACTACGAAATTAGCGAATGCCCTAGAAAGCGGAAAATAAGTATTCAAGTGAAAGTGCGTGGACAGCAAAAGGACATTATTTGAAAAACAATGTGTCGATTTAATACTCATCGTCTGTCGATAAATAGAAAAATTGTCAGAGGACAACTATGAGTCGTGGAATCTTCAAATGAAGTCCGTCCTTATTCACCAAGATCTAAGGGAGGTGATCGCCGAGGAAATGAGTGAAGAGAAAAATGCTGAGTGGAGGAAAAAAAGATCACATCGGTTTAGCTTTCACACATAAAGAACTGCAAGACGCCGAAGGACGCGTGGAACAGTCTGTCCTTACAAGAGTGACTGTCCGAATTCACGTTAGTAGTGGACAAACTGGAAGTGAAGAACTATGAACTGGGGGGTTTTAGGGCAAGTTTTTAACCAAATTAATTTTATTGTGAAATTTTGGGTTATCATTGGGTATTAAATCAAATCTTCCTTTCAAAAATCTATTCAATATCGGTGCAAATTTTTAATATCCCGCACAGTATCCCCAATTTTCGATATTTTTAAGGGGTTTCATAAAGACTTCAAATGAGCGGTAATTACTTTTTTTGTAATTCTCATTAGGTTTCAATTTTTTCTTATTAAACATTAGTAATATTGATCTAGGAATTTCTCCGCACCCCAATTTCCTCCCAGCAACAATTCGCCACGATGTAGGCCCCATAAAAAAATTTCACATTTATTTTAGGTACTTTGAATGTCCACCACATGTTAAAGGATCCAATCAAGTTTAACAACATTCTACATATTGTTTGTTAACAGCTTTCTATGATATATTCGAATTACACTGTGCTCAATTGTTGGTCGTATAATGTGTGCGAGTGTGGGAGGTAATGCCCTTTGTCAATGTATTCCATCCTCGCTGATACTTATGTATACGATATGTTCGACTGTTGATAACACCACCAACTCTTGGCCGTATTGACATACGTCATCGACATTTTTCGTCACAGGAGAGTAGTGGTGGTATTGGTTATTGTTTCCAGCACCTGTAGTTCATTCACAGGTTGTGTGGGACCTTTCATCGGCTTTATTTTTGGCGTAAAGCAAATAAAACAATAAAAAGAATAAATAATGCAACAACAATTAACCTGGATCAACAATCTAGTTGAAGTTCATTTAATTTAATTCGATCGATGAACAAAAGGCCCTGACTGGAATTCCCTTCATTTATCAGTTCAAACTGCCCTGGATGTTTTGTTGGTGTCTCAATAAATGCAATTAAAATTGCGGAATATAAAATATTGTGGCAGGTTATGGCAGTTCATTGACTATCATCATTGGGAAAAATTAAATGTTTTTTTGTTAATGTACTTGCCAATATTTTATAAAATTTTGCCCAATAGCATTACCCAACCCAGATGTTTTCCATTAAGCTATCAAGGTAAATAACCCGGAAAATATTTTTGATACAAGGTGTTATGAAATCAATTACATTATACACATGAATATGTCTGGTAGCACCTTATCGGTCAGTAGACACCTCTCTTTTTTGATTGAAAATAAGTCAGTGACTTGAGAAAGTTCAGTATCATAAAAAAGGCCTATGATGGGACTCGAAAAATATATTTTTAAACCAGTAAGGAAAGTAGTAAAGTCGGACTGGGCCGACTATATGATACCCTTCACCACTTTGGGTATATTCTACATATGTATCCTTACAATTGCACGTCAATGTTCCCTCGAAGAAACATAATCATGCCTTTCTGCAACCTATGATAAATTTAATTTTATTAGGGCAGATTTCGAGTGGTCTGCGTACCATGGGACAAAAAATTGATACATATATGTGGGATACATATATGATATGTATATGTGGGAGCTATATCGAAAACTGAACCGATTTTCCAAAACTTACCACACATCATTCTAGACTCAGCTCATTACGCCATGCCAAATTTCATGCACATCGAAGAAAATATATATGGGAGCTATATATAAATCTGAAACGATTTTCACGAAACTTAGCAAACATCGTTCTAGAATTGATTCAGTACGCTGTTTTAAATTTCGTGAAATCGAAGGATATTTAGGGACTTTGGTGCACTATTTATATAAAATCGGACGAAAATATATATGGGAGCTATATCTAAATCTGAACTGCTTTTCACGAAACTTAACACACATCTTTCTAGACTCAAGTCAGTACGCTGCACTAAATTTCGTGGAAATCGAAGGATATATAGGGACTTTGGTTCGTTATTTACCTAAAATCGGACGAAAATATATATGGGAACTATATTTAAATCTGAAACGATTTTCGCGAAACTTAACACACATCTTTCTACACTTAATTTAGTACGCTATACCAAATTTCGTGCAAATCGAAGGTGATATAGGTGCTTTGGTGCCCAATTTACCTTAAATCGGACGAGAATATATATAGGAGCTATATTTATATCTGAACCGATTTTCAGGAAACTTAACACACATCGTTCTACACTTAATTCAGAACGATGTGCCAAATTTCGTACAAATCGAAGGATATAGAGGGGCTTTGGTGCCCCATTTACCTTAAATCGGCTGAAAATATATATGGGAGCTATATCTAAATCTGAAACGATTTTCACGAAACTTAACACACACCGTTCTAGACTTAATTCAGTACGCTGCACTAAATTTCGTGCAAATAGAAGCATATATAGGTACTTTGGTGCACCATTTACCTAAAATCGGCCAAAAATGTATATGGAAGCTATATCTAAATCTGAACCGATTTTCACGAAACTTAACACACATCGTTCTACACTTAATTTAGTACGTTACACCAAATTTCGTGGAAATCGAAATATATATAAGTACTTTGGTGCACCATTTACCTAAAATCGGCCAAAAATATATATGGGAGCTATATCTAAATCTGAACCGATTTTTCCCAATTTCAATAGGATTCGTCCTTGGGCCAAATAAATAAGCTGTGCCAAGTTTCACCCAATTCGAATCAAAAATGCGACTTGTACTTTGTTTACAATTTAACATGGACCCGCAGACGGAAAGACGGACGGACATGCATAAATCGACTTAAAAAGTGATCCTATGCATATTCTCAAAAGGAACCATGTGTCTATCTCGTTTCCTTTTGCCTGTTACAAACATATGCACAAAGACATAATGTGGTGAAGGGTATAAAAATCCACACCCATGATTGGACTCCAAAAATATTTTTAAACCAGTGAGGGGAGCAGTATAGTCGGACGGGGCCGACCATATGATACCCTACACCACTTACGCGAAAATCTAACTTTCTGCGGTGTAGTTCTGAGCTGGGGCAATATTTCGCGATATTTACACCCTCTTGACCGACTAGAGGTCAACAAATATTACTAATATTCCGTAAAGCCCTTCTAATTACTTGTCCAGATTCCCTTCACCGTGGGTTGTGTTGTGATGTTCGGCTTTCAATTGTGGCCTGTAGGTCGACTCGAAAAAACACAAAAAATTAAGTTTTCGGTCCACATCATCCCAATATTATTATATGATCATCACCGAAAATTATAGGCGTTGTCCTTGACCATACCTGGATTCTCATGGACAATTTCAAAACGTTCAGCGCTATATTTCCGCCCTCTAGAGTGGTAATGGGTTACTAAACAATATATGAATACGTAAGCACCTGTAAATATTTACGTGTAACTCCCACATCCGAGTACATACGATCCCCTTCGTCATATCCTTCCCTTCTCCATGTAAAAGTTCGAGATGTTTGGGCCATAATTGCGGCTTCTGCACCAACCAGAAAACCGACAAAAATTAGTATTTGGTCCATTTTATCCCCTAAATATTAACCGATCTTTACAAAAAACAATAGGGGTCTTCATTGGGCCGAACTCATCTTACTTGCAAAATTTCGTGAAGATTGGTCGATAACTGTGGCCTGTATCGTGTTTACAAATTATAATGGACAGACGGACGGACATACATTTCTAGATCGACTCAGCTAGTTGAGATATGGCGATCGGTATGCTAGGACCAATATTTCGCGGCGTTACAAACTCTTGGGGCTGCACAAAGCTATAATACCCTGACAAAATAGTTGGGTAGGGTACAAAAATCTACACCTATATATACATAACTGTGTTTGTGTGTGTTATTACAGCATAGTGTGAGTTTGTTAATATCATCTATCACTCAATTAGTCGCTCTGCTGCCATCAGAAGCAGCAGCGGCTGCCTTCCATGATGACACTTATGTGCTAATATCAACAGCGCCATCGTAAATAACCTCAGGTTTTTGTGAGGACGGAGGTATGGATTGACTCCGATAGATAATTACGTTATAATACCCATTTGGCGGATGTCCGACAATAATGACATTAGCAAAAACACGCCATTGACCTTAACATTTGACATTTTATTACACTACAATTTATTATATTGCAAAAGGGAAAGAGGATTGATTGAGTTATAAACTTAAAACATATTAGGTATAGGTTGTTATAATAATGTAATATAATTAATATAAAATGAGGTTAGGTTTAATGGCCACTTCAGAATCTGAAGAAGACAAAGTAAAATAAACTAAATTACAGTTATAATTAAATGACGATCCATTACCATGGATAGAAATCTAGAAATCCGGTAAACTACTCCTAGTACATTATAAATTTTATCCTTATCGCCAAATTTGTACCTCTTCATGGCTCCGCATCAAATATTCCCAATTTATCGAAACGCTTTAGAGCATATTTGATAGTCTCAATTGTACGAGGATTTGAGATAAACATCAGTTTAACCTTTTTGCGGGCAAACTCTTTATCAGCCAGAGCCTCCAAACTGATGTCAGCCGAATCTTCTTTACGCATAGCGACCATGGGCAGGAACGAGTACAACGAAAAGAAACCATATTGTTCACGTGATGTTATTTCCTCTCGTATGTCCTGCAACGAAGGAATTCCTTCATAATTCATTCCCCGCAATGCCTCATGGAACGTCTCATAATAAGTTTCGATGAGAAAATTTCGACGATATTTCAGAACATTCAGTTGGGCACTGCTATTCAGAAAGAAATTGATATCACAGCCCGGACTGCCAAAGAAGCTGTTTTGAAAGTCGACCTGAAGAAAGCAATTAAAAAATATTTTAAATATTTTTCAAATTTCATAAAAACTAATATTCCTTACAAATACAGCATCCTCTGGTGCCTTGCAGTTATCCGCCTTATACTTATACATAAAATTATTAACCCATAAATCGCCATGATTTAGCACAGTAATTTCACCTGGTCGTGGACGTCCTGTTTTGACCAAATTCTCAGTAATATTATCACAATAGGCATGCAATTTTTCACTGATTTCCTCATAGCCCTTCCAGGTGGCTACCATATCGGCCAAGGTCCTAACATGTAGACTCATGAAGTCTGTGAAACGTTCACTAGTCCTAATATAGGTTTCATCTAACATGCCACCTTTAAAGTGTTCCGTCAAAGAGGGATTCTGTTGGGCATAAAATTGAGTGACATAAGTTCTAGTCAGAGGTAGTGATTGAACAAATATTACCTTTTCCAACAACACCATTGAGGAGGCATGGAACTTGGCCAATTTTTGTAAAATAATCACGCAGTGCTCTTCATTGAGTCCCTTTTGCCGATTCGCCAATTTGTAGCCATACTGGGTGAGATCATCAAAAACAATGGTTTGCATTGGTTCGCCGGTTGTGTAGAAACATCTGCAAAGGAAGGCAAAAAATAAATTAAATATTTCCAAAAAATCACGACCTTAATATTTGCTATAAAATTATTTAAAAAAATCCATTCCATAAATATTTGTTATATAAAAATATTTAAAACCCATAATTGTTCCTATAAAAATATTTCAAAAAATTCATGTCTTTAATTTTTGCTATAATTGTTCCTTTTATATTTGCTATAAAAAAAAAATAAAAATATTTTAGAAAGCTCCACGCTTTTAATGTTTGCTATAAAAATATTTCAAAAAAATCATGTCTTTAATTTTTGCTATAAAAATATTTCAAAAAATTCATGTCTTCAATTTTTGCTATAAAAATATTTTTAAAAAAGCCACGCCTTTCATTTCTGCTATAATATTAGCTATACATTTTTTAAATCCACGCCTTTAATTTTTGCTATAATATTAGCTGTATTTTTTTTTAATCCACGCCTTTCATTTTTGCTATAATCTACGCCTTTAATTTTTGCTATAACATTTGCCATAAAAATATGTTTAAAAAAAATCCACGCCTTTAATTTTTGCTATAACATTTGCCATATAAATATGTTTAAAAAATCCACGCCTCTGCTATATTATTAGCATAAACATATTAAAAAAATCCACGTGTTAAATTTTTGCTGTAACATTTGCCATAAAAAACGTGTTTTAGAAAATCCACGCCTTAAAATTTTGCTATAACATTTGCCATAAAAAATATGTTTTAAAAAATCCACGCCTTTAATTTTGCTATAAAAACATGTACAAAAATTGGTTGCTATAATAATTGCCATAAAAATATTTTTAAAAAATCCACGAGTTTAATCTTTGCTATAATAATTGCCATAAAAAGTATTTTAAAAAAAATCCGTTTTTAAATTTACTTACTTTGCTCCAAACTTCGTCCCTTGACCAATTAGCATTTCCAATTTATCCAAAACTTCGGAATAAAATATTTTCTCCCTTAAATAGACCTCCAAATCCTCAAGGAATTGTGTAGCCGGTGTTATGGCAATACTTTTCACAATCAATGCCAACTCCTCGTCCAATTGGCGTTTACTGCAACGATACAACGCTTTGGCACGATATATTTTGCTACAGTAGTTCTCTCCGCCTCCACTCGGTTCGCCGAATTCAATTTTCTTTATATCCACACAATTGTCGCGTAGGCCTACCTCCAAGGCGGCCTTGAAGAAATCCTCATTCAAATAGGATGGCAGATTATTGGAGTTTTCCAAAATCATGGTGGAGTTTTTTTTTTTTTTGTTAGGATTTACGATTGCAGAAGAAAAATTCAAAAGTAGATCCTTATGGGTGGTTATCCTTCACTCCTTGTTTGTTAAATATAGTTTTTTTAATAATTATCCTCCCGGTAATTTCCGTTTAAATTTCACTGTCTATTATTCCGTTCAGTATTCACTTCGTATAGTTAATTTTTTGCAATAAAATTTTGCCTGGTATCCGAATGCTTTTTATACCAGGTCTTGTCTGATAAATGGACTTAACTATGCAATTTATTAGATAGTAATGGAGAAGAAGAAAATCCACCTGTTATCAGATAGTTCGTTCCTTTGTGAGTAGTTTCTGTGTGCTCCTCAGTATGATAGTATCGTGATAGGCCTCTTGACCACCGGAAACTTCTACATCTTTTTACTATAATGCTTATCGGCAATGTAATCGATTTTTTCTGTTTAGTTTTTTTTTTTATTGCAAACGTTTGTAAATATCCATATTAACTCAAACGTGTCAATAACTATATGGGTAATGGCTATACCCTACACCTCGATTTTTCTGATTTTTTAAAGAATATTTTTTTCAATTCTGCTTTCAAATAGTAAGTGTAAGTCCATATTTAAGAGTTTCGCCTCTATTTGTTCATTAAAATCCAAATAGCACCACATTTGGTAGAATTCTGTATTTTTCGTACCCATATTCCAAAACTATCTCAATCCTACACTACGACAGTAATCTTAGTTGCAGCTTTAAGGATTCCCATTATAAACGTTCACCAAAATTAAAATTCTACCAAATTTAGTACATTTCGTACCAATAAGTACGAATTTCCAAAACTACCTCATCATACATGCACTCCAATAAAAATCTTAAGTCCACATTTAAGGCTTCCAGCTCTATCCGTTCACCAACATAAGTAAGTCCACATTTCAGGATCACAGCCCTATCCGTTCTAAATTCTAAATTGTTATAAATTCGAATTTCCAACACTACCTCAATCGTGTACACTAATATGTAATTTTAGTTCCAAATTTAGGTTATCCATCTCTATCCGTTCACTCAAATCTAAACCGTCTAGTATGGTTCGTACCGTACAATAAGTACGTATTTTCTTCATTCATGTTTTCTAATAGTTAAATCGATATTGTATAGCCCTTTATTTTAGCTGCATTGCATTTACCTGCACAAAATAAAACCCTTTGGTACTTTTTTCTCAGATTCCGTCGCAAATATTTCGTTTAAGGGCACTATTCATACCTGTACATTTAAGATATCAGCTCAGAATATTAGTACTTTTCCCATCATCTTACTTAATTAATTTTTGCTGCATAGAGAATTTCAAAATATAAATGAGTCGTTATTTTTTACACAACATCGCAAAATGACTTTTAATCCGGATTAAGACTTAATCCGGGGTCAGTGACCCTTATCCGGGGCCAATGAACCTTAATATCTGAACAAGCAACACTTGCAATTATTTATGTGCAGGTAAGTCACATGTGCAGATATCTTAATTCTCTTACCTGCCTCAACTTGCACGTAAGTGAAACCACAACATAAATCGATGACCATTAATCCGGATTAAGCCTTAATCCGGGGTCAATGGCCCATAATCCGGATTAATAATCCGGATTACAATGACCATTAATGCGGGGTCAATGACCTTTAATCCGGATTAAGACTTAATCCGGGGTCAGTGACCCTTAATCCGGGGTCAGTGACCCTTAATCCAGGGCCAATGAACCTTAATACCTGAACAAGCAACACTTGCAATTTTTATGTGCAGGCAAGTCAAATGTGCAGATATCTTAAATCTCTTACCTGCCTCAACCTGCACGTAAGTGAAATCACAACATAAATCGTAATTCGGGGTCAATGACGCTTAATCCGGATTAAGCCTTAATCTTGGGTCAATGACCCTTAATCCGGATTAAACCTTAATCCGGGTAAGCCATAATCCGGGGTTAATGACCTTAATCCGGATTAAGCCTTAATCCGGGGTTAATGACCTTAATCCGGGGTCAATGACCCTTAATCCGGATTAAGCTTAATCCGGGGTCAATGACCCTTAATCCGGGGTCAATGACCCTCAATCCGAGGTCAATGTCCCTTAATCCGGCATCAATGACCTTTAATCCGGATTGTCCTTAATCCGGGGTCAATGACCCTTAATCCGGATTAAGCCTTAATCCGGGGTCAATGACCCTTAATCCGGATTAAGCCTTAATCCGGGGTCAATGACCCTTAATCCGGATTAAGCCTTAATCCGGGGTCAATGACCCTTAATCCGGATTAAGCCTTAATCCGGGGTCAATGACCCTTAATCCGGGGTCAATGACCCTTAATCCGGCTTAAGCCTTTAATCCGGATTATACTTAATCCGGGGTCAATGACCTTTAATCCGGATTGACCTTAATCCGGGGTCAATGACCCTCAATCCGGATTGTCCTTAATCCGGGGTCAATGACCCTTAATCCGGATTAAGCCTTAATGCGGGGTCAATGACCTCAATCCGGATTAAGCCTTAATCCGGGGTCAATGACCTTAATGCGGATTAAGCCTTAATCCGGTGTCAATGACCCTTAATTCTGATTAAGCCTTTAATCCGGATTATACTTAATCCGGGGTCAATGACCTTTAATCCGGATTGACCTTAATCCGGGTTCAATGACCCTTAATCCGGGGTCAATGACCCTCAATCCGAGGTCAATGACCCTTAATCCGGCATCAATGACCTTTAATCCGGATTGTCCTTAATCCGGGGTCAATGACCCTCAATCCGAGGTCAATGACCCTTAATCCGGCTTAAGCCTTTAATCCGGATTATACTTAATCCGGGGTCAATGACCTTTAATCCGGATTGACCTTAATCCGGGTCCAATGACCCTTAATCCGGATTAAGCCTTAATCCGGGGTCAATGACCCTCAATCCGGATTGTCCTTAATCCGGGGTCAATGACCCTTAATCCGGATTAAGCCTTAATCCGGGGTCAATGACCCTCAATCCGGATTGTCCTTAATCCGGGGTCAATGACCCTTAATCCGGATTAAGCCTTAATGCGGGGTCAATGACCTCAATCCGGATTAAGCCTTAATCCGGGGTCAATGACCTTAATGCGAATTAAGCCTTAATCCGGGTTCAATGACCTTAATCCGGATTAAGCCCTAATCCGGGGGGTCAATGAACCTTAATCCGGGGTCAATGACCCTTAATCCGGACTAAGCCTTTAAATCCGGATTAAGCCTTAATCCTGGGTCAATGACACTTAATCCGGGGCCAATGAACCTTAATACCTGCAGAGCAACACTTGCAATTATTTCTGTGCAGGTATGTCAAACCTGCACGTAAGCGAAATCACAACATAAAAATGGAACAATGGTAAATGTTCTGAAATGCGATATCAACGCTTTTAATGAAAATGAAGAACAATTTGCATCGATAGTGTCAATAATTGATAAATTGAGGAAATGATTGTGTGTAGTTTGCGATGGTGAGTAAAAAATAAGGACTCGTTTTTATTTAGATACTAGCATATACCCGCTACTTCGTTAGCGAATGTGGGATGTATTTAAAACCTTATACCGACCATTATTAAAATTTTAGAACCATTTAGTACATATGTTCCCTATAGTACATTTTTCAAATCTACCTCTATATCTCAAAAAAATCAAATATAGCTTCACCCAAATCCAAATTGAGTATCAGTTAGTGCACATTAATATAAATTTCCACAACTACCTACTTTAACAATCATGGGTACGAACTTCTAACACTTCCAACATCTTAATTCCAAATTTCAGGATTCTATCGGTTCACCTAAATATCTCAATCTTACACCTCAACAGTGATCCTGACTCCAAATTTCATGATTTTAGCTCTATTGGTTCACCTAAAATTCTAATTGTACCAAATTTAGTACCATTTAGTATCCATAAGTATTAATTTCTTAAACTGAATCCTGACCCTAATCCGAATGATCATGCCTCCAATTTTCATTGTTCCCAATCTATCGGTTCACCCAAATCTAAATTGTACCAATTGTATTACGATTTAGTACTTTTCGTAACAAATTTCCAAAACTAAGTACATATCCCAATCCGATGGTAATGATAATTTCAAATTTCAGGATTCCAACTCGATTTGTACCTTCGAATTAAATGTGTACCAAATATAGTACCATGTAGTACTTTTCGTACACATGAGTACACGCTTTCAAAACCATCACCCTACATCTCAACCCTAATTCGCATTCCAAATTTCAAGTTGTTAGCTCTATCCGTTTACATGATACATTTTAGTACTTTTCGCATACTTACAGTTCGAATATCTATCTATCTTTATCTATTCTACGCTCCATCAGTGACCCTCATTTAAAATTTAAGAATTTTGGACCTATTTTTTGAATATGATATCTCTCAAAGGGCCGCCTCTGGAGTTGATGACGTATTGTGCCCTTTTTGGCCGGAATAGCGGCTATTTCTTCACGAAGGTTGTCCTTGAGCTCTTCTATGGTCCTTGGCTTGTTAACGTAAACCTTTGACATCAAATATTCCCACAAGAAGATGTCAGGCGGCGTCAAATCGGGCGAACAACTTTTCGACATCAAACGGCCCGGAAACAAATTCTTCAGAAAATCGATTGTTATGCGACTTGTGTGCGGTGGAGCGCCGTCTTGTTGAAACCAGAACTGCCTCATACGCATCACAAAATTGGTCATAATGTCGCGATAACGCTCCTGATTGATGGTAACAGCATGGTCATTTTCATTTTGGAAGAAAAACGGTCCAATGACCGTTTTCGCACTAACGCCGCACCAAACTGTGACTTTTTCGTCATGAAGAGGCACTTCTTAAATCTCGTGAGGATTTTCAGTGGCGTAAAAACGGCAATTTTGCTTATTTACTTCATCGGACATGATAATTTTGTTCCAAAATTGCTCGTCATCTTCGGCCATTTCGATGACTCTTTGGGCCCATTCCAATCGACGAGGCTTGTCCGCAGGCAACATTCTTTGCCTCAATTGA